GGGGGGGGGGGGGGGGGTTATAGTCCCCCAGCCCCCCTGGGTCCACTGATACGAAAAATGGATGCAAGACGAAGTAGTTATCAACGTACAAACAAAGACCGCTCTCTGTGCAGCAGGCTCACCTCGTGTTCAATGTTTACGTATCAAATGTTCTTGTATTCAATGACAGAAATGGGGGAGCGGAACAAATGTTTTAGCCGAACTTTTGTGGTTTTTGCCTGCTTATTATGCCTAAATTAGGGCGCTGTTGTTGAACGGACAGCCAAAACAACGTTCACTGCTAGATCGAAAATGATATCGAAAAAATCGGGTCCTCCAAGACCACCTTTACCAACGCGAATGAAGAAGGTCGAAGCGACGGGACAACAACAGGATGAAACTCCAAAAAGTTTGGGCCTTTTTTCAATCCGGTATTGCCGCGACGATGCGAATGAATCCGACGAGGAGATTTCTATAGTTCGCAAGGAGAATTCGCCAGATGTTCAGTCTGAGGCGAGCGGAGAGGACAAAAGTGAAGACTCTCAAAACGCGGAAAAGGATGATGCGACTTCGCCCAGCGCTGGGACAAGCTCGATTTTGTCCGCGCTTAATAATAGCCTCACGTTTCTTCCTAAATCCCCAAGTTTAAACAACGGCAGCGAAGCGTTAAGTTCTGAAGAGCAGACACAACAAGATCCGAGTGAAAACACCATGGGGGAGATTGTTTTTAAGACGTCACATTTTGAACAAGAATCAGAAACAAGTCCGGAAGTTTACGAGTCGAATGGAGGTCGTCTTTCGACCAGTCCACCTGTACCGAGACGCAAAGACAACTTGGTTGTACACTCTGCGATGACTCTCAGTTCGCTTTTGAAAAAAGAGGTCGAGCATAGGACGCCATTTGGCAAAGCAAATGGCCAAGAAGGAAGTTATGCCAAAACAAAAGGCTTCCTGGCCTCTGCTTTGGTTGACAGCTCACGGTTACTAATGCCAATTGGCTTGGGGGATTTTAATTCCGAGGTCGGCACACCAGTTAAGCAGGAAGAGCCGGTATTAACATACACCGAAATACCGTTGTACAACATGCTTATTGTGTCGGTGGTTGTATTTTTGTATTTCATGTTGCCATCCTCATCGTTCATGAACGGTTTCATGTTCGGAGGGATTTTGACTTTCTTTTTGGTGTTTGCGTTAATGTGGTTGCTCACGCCAGAGATGAGCGATGAAGAGAGATACAAGAGGGACGTCCTGGAACACGAACGCGAGATGAAAACATTGCAAAAGACAATGCCAAGTGAATTTCTTCAACCATGGCAACTAAATCAGCAACACGATTTAGAGGTAAGAGTACAAACACAGAATAGATACCACACAGAAGTCTGACTTCTTTTCGCCATCTATGATTTTGAAGTTGCAATATCGTCATGTTCCTAGCCACTTAGGAGAGGCATTCACACCCCCCCCCCCGAACATTTTCAAAATGGTCGACGTTTAAGGAGTGAATGCCTCAGGGGAGTGAATGCCTCAGGGGTGTGAATGCAACACTAGGAACATGGTAAATGGATTTTGATAATGAATCGTGACATGGCAGCTACACATTTTTGGCCGAGTCGGACTTCTGTTTGATTTCTATTCTTTGATACATTATATTTGATTTATGTTTGGTTTTAAAGTTATTTGCTGGGCTCTGCTCTTTATCTTTAAACTTCTTTGATACAACTGCAGTTTAGTGGACTCGAGTGTGTTGTACAATTTGCTTGTAAAGTACGCATTTTGGCAAGAAATAATCCTAACCCAACCCTTATTATTTCAATTTTTCAACATCATCACTTTGCAGTTGCATTTTCACAACAAAACTTGCACTATGTGAGCCCACAGTCTGTATCATTACTGTCAGTGACACACAGTGTCATATTTTTTATGTCTGCTAGGGATGGTTCTTCAAAACATCACACTACAATGCACTGGAACCTGTCGACTTCAATGACATGGACCAAATACGACCAGTCTATGTCAGTCTTTCCGCACACACAATGACATTTTATACACCAAGACAAGATGATTTACCTAAAATCAAACGAAGCAGTATGCTGGCGAAAAATGACAGTATAAAATTCAGTGAATCGAAAGAATATGACCTCCGTTATGGCGGTGAGATCGAACTAGTGCCTGAAACATTGACTTTGAAAAGACTTTGGGCTAAGAAATATCCTATATGTTTGAAACTTTTCGAGAAACCAACTGCAGAGAGGACTGTTGGGGATTCAGAAGGATCTGGGGATACATTTGTTGTTCCTTCAGTCACAGAGGAAATGTACCTGTTTAGCCCTACAGGTCGCGGTAAAGAGGAATGGTACGTAGTCTCTGATCTAATATAAAACTGGATTAAGACTGGTGGCTGCCTGGTGACTGCCCTTAAAACTTGCTTTCCACAAATTAATTTGCCTAAATTTCAGTCCGTAAGGCATGGTCAAATGAGAACCAAGAGTTGCATGAGAGTTGATGAGAGTTGAGAAGCGAGAGTTGAATGTTTTCTCAACTCTCATCCCCCGTCAAACAAGAACAAGAGTTGCATGATAGTTGAGAAGTGGGAGTTTGCATGAGAGTTTTCTCAACTTTCATGCCCTGGTCAAATGAGAACAAAAGTTGCATGAGAGTCGAGAAACGAAAGTTTTCTCAACTCTCATGTCCCTGTCAAACAAGAACAATAGTTGCATGAGAGTTGAGAAGTGAGAGTTTGCATGAGAGTTTTCTCAACTTTCATGTCCCGGTCAAATGAGAACAAAAGTTGCATGAGAGTTGAGAAACGAGAGTTTGCATGAGAGTTTTCTCAGCATGAGAGTTTTCTCAACTCTCATGTCCCAGTCAAATGAGAACAAAAGTTGCATGAGAGTTGAGAAAATGAGAGTTTGCATGAGAGTTTTTTCAACTCTCATGTCCCAGTCAAACAAGAACAATAGTTGCATGAGAGTTGATGAGAGTTGAGAAGCAAGAGTTTGTTGTGAGAGTTTTTTCAACTCTTATGCCCTGGTCAAACAAGAATAAGAGTTGCATGAGAGTTGACTGGATGTTACTGTGCGTGTGATTGGAAAGTCTCATCAACTCTAATCAAAATTAAAATTTGAACCAATTCAAAGTTGATGAGAGTTGACGAATGTTGGCGTTCAAACGCGAGTGAGAGTAGTAACTCTCATCCAACTCTTATCCTCATTCGACACGCAGGACTCTGTACCTGTGCTCTTTACGAGTGTTCACTGTGAATTTTTCTTAGGTATTACCGCATTGAAAAAGTACTGAAGCCTCGGACGCATGTGAACGACATTGAGAGTATCTTTAATACTCAAGCCAGCTTCCCTCACTACATGGGACAGCTGATAGGCAATGACAAGGAGCCCACATCACAGGCGCAGCTGACGTGGGTGAATGCGTTGCTAGGGCGACTGTTCTGGGATGTGTGGAAGAGCAAATATTGGAATGACAAGGTCAAGAACCGGATACAGAATAAAATATCCCGGATGAAACTACCACCTTTCATTCGTTATCTCAAGGTACGCTAAAAAAATTCGCCAAATGAATGCAAATCAAGGTGGATGCAACAAATCCACAAACGAGTTTTCACTCATGTTACGTGTTTTTGAAATAGTGTTTCTACATTTACGTTTTACAAGACTGCTTAATTGTATTTCCAGGTGACAGAAATGAAATTAGGCCATGCCCTACCCACAATCCAACGTGCTCACAACCTACATCAAGACAACCGAGGGATCTGGGTGGACTTGGAGGTGGATTACGAAGGCGGAATCATGTTGACGATTGAAACTATGGTCAACTTGGAGTATTACTTGAAACAGCTGACGGACCAAGGAAAAAGCGATGGCGACGAGGTCATACTTAAATTTAGCCGTGAGGATAGCACCTATAGTGACGCCAGCAGCGCTGAAAGTGACGTAGAAGAAGGATGGGACGATGCTCCGATGACGTTCGCCGACGGTCGTAGCCCGAGCGTCTCGAGTGACGAGTCAGCAAGTGGCGGAGAGAACCCGAACTCGGATGCTGAAACTGACGGTGAACGAAGGTGGGCGACCTTTATACCAGTTATCATGTTTGAAATGAAACAAGACAGCAACCACTGACAAAATGTACACGTAGTCACGTACTACACGGGTAAAAATTGATCATGTTGTTCGGCGTTGTTCAAAACAGGAGCGAACAATGTTGTGCTGCACTCCGTGAACAATATTGTTAACAAGTTGTTGAACCATCAGTATTGTTGCAACTTGTTGACATGATTGTCAACAATTTGCAACAATACTGATGGTTCAACAACTTGTTGACAATATTGTTCACAGGGTGCAGCACAACATTGTTCACTCCTGTTTTGAACAACTTGCATCAACATGATGATTTTTACGCGTGTAGTAGGCCTACGAATATTTTAACGTACTTGTAAAATGAATTTGTTTACACAACACCAACAGGCAACACAGCAATCATGATTATTAGATTACATTGATATCGATGGAACTAGACTCTGAAATATCACATACTCGAACCGACCTGACCGCGCAGAGCATTGGGCTAGTATTCCAAAGGTCGTAGGTTCGATTCCCACCGTGACCAAGCATATTTTTCAAGCTTGCCCGGTGTGGATACGCACTCAGAGTAGCATCACAAACATCATGAATTTGTTTGTTAACTTTATTAATATTCACTGCCCATGGGGACATTCTCACACTTCATTAGCATGCATTTAAAATCTGAATTAGTATTGATAACTTTCATAAACATCCCTGCTTCTGAATTAATATTCATAACTTTCATAAACATCCCTTTAGAGGGGATGTTTACATCACTTTCTGATCTTTAATGCGGTTTACAAGTGTGCACATGTGACCTAAATACCGCGTCGTGATTTGTTTGTGGCCTTATTAACTATTCATGAATTTTACAAGCAAAAATAAAACAATTTCTTATCAAGACGCAAACATAACAATGCAATAACAAGCCAATAAGTTCATAAGAAAGTTGTTAGTCCTTAGCAATCAAATGTGCAATATCTCAATGTGATTGTTTTCCAGATGAGTGTGTAATCATGAGACTTTGGTTAGCTGTTCTTAATGCTTTCCCCACATTATCATGGATTCTATTAAAGTTAAAACACAGTTGCAACACTCATCAAACATTTATTTTGTTGAACTAGAGCTTAAAATGTCCCCTGTAACAATGCGTGACTGCAAACTCACGTCATCGTTTGACCGAGGCTTCAAACTCAGCTGCATTTGTTTAGGTCAATGACATCAAGTACCTCTCCATCATCAGAACAGGAGAACCAGGGCTGGGCAGGCAAGGTGAAGAATCCAAAAGGCAAGAAGATTTTGAACATGCTTGAGAAAGTGGCGAAGTCGAAATGGGTGCAGAAAGCAGCGGAAACTAAGGTTGTCCAAAGAGCGGTCGAGAAATTCTCAAATCTCCCCATAGAGTTGGGTGTTGAGGTCGTCAGACTGCGTGGCACCTTAGCAGCGAATATACCACCTCCCCCTTCCAACAGATTATGGTAAGATGCCCATGTTATCCCTATTTGATGTTGTGGATCATCTCTCTTAGTGAAAACTAAAATAACTTTACATTGGATAGCTCTATTAGTTCTAAATTGTTCTCCTTAGAGGTCCAGTCAAGATCATCTCTTACTGATCCAGTGTCACTACAGGAGGAAACCTAAACTAACTTTATTTATACTGGATAGCTCTATCAGTTCTAAACTGTTCTCCCTAGAGGTCCAGTCAGGTTCATCTCTTATTGATCCAGTGTTATTACAGGAGGAAACCTAAACGAACTTTATTTATACAGGACAGGTCTATCAGTTCTAAACTGTTCTCTCTAAAGGTCCAGTAAGGATCATCTCTTATTGATCCGGTGTTACTACAGGAGGAAAGCTAAACTAGATTTATTTATACTGGATAGCTCTATCAGTTCTAAACCGATCTCCTTAGAGGTCCAATAAAGGCCATTCCGTATTGGTTCAATGCTACTTGTTTTTTGTTTATAGGTTTGGTTTCCATAGCAATCCGTTATTAAGTCTGATAGCAAGGCCGAAACTTGGAGAACGTAATGTCCGGCTTACTCACGTGACTGAGTGGATTGAATACAAACTAAAACAAGAATTCAAGGTAACATTGATTTGCACCTCAAATTTAAAATATCCAATACCCCCTCCCCAACACACACACACGCGTATCTGCCATTGTACAAGCGATTAAACTAATTACTTGTCGGGTTTTGTTATATTTCCAGTCAATGTTTGTTCTACCCAATATGGAAGACCTGACGATACGAATCATGGACAGCGGTCTTGAAGAAAAGTTTCCTGCTTCGTAATGTAAACTTAGAACGAAACCGACACGTTTAGCTAAACCACAGTAGCCTGGGAACAGGCTCTTTGAATTGAATTAGAGCCTGTTCGCAGGCTAAATATAACATGTGAACTCGAAAAGACCCGAGTCTAGACGAAGGGCCTTCGCTCGAAACGTCGAAATTCTCCTTATATTTTAAGGTAGTTGCATCCCTACCACCGAAAGCTTTAACAGAACTTCGACGTTTCTAGGTAAGGCCCTTCGTCAGGACGTTGAGCCAGATTTCAACTTCAACCGTACCGAAACGTACTGGTGAGCATGCGTAGATTGAAAAGAGGTTGATAAATCCACGTACTTCCGGGTGTATTCGCGTATCAAAGTGAAACGTTTGTCGCAATTCAACTTTTTGGCGTACTATTAAGTATTAACCAATCAACATTCAAAATTTTGAAATTTAAAAATCGGTGCAGTACGCTTCAAGTGGAAAACTGGTATTATTTAGTAGCTTCCCACGACGAAGTGCCTTGAAACATCGAAAGTTTTGCTTATCTTTTCAAGCAGTTGGATCTCCCTCGCAGCTGTCTAAATAGCAAACTTACTCTTCAGTAGCTCATCCAAGACTTAGGGTTAATCCAGCTTAGAACAACGTCCTTTTGAGTTCAGTGGTATACGCAGAGAAATTAATTGTAAATCTAATAAATAAAACTCATGCTAAATATGGGAATTTTGAGTTGAAATTATAGTTCGCAAAATTGTACAGAGTAAAAATTGAGAATATGATTCTAACTTTTTTCAAATGCTCTTAAATGGTATATTAGGACGGTATTGCATAAGAGATAGCTTCATTTTATTTTATTTTATGAATAACGAGAGATTATATTAAATAAAGATTAAAGTATAGATACTAAAAATTATAGATTAATAAATGATGGTATAAGTTTAAATGTTTAATTTATATTTTATTTGCTCTGCATCATAATTGAAAAACAGTAATAACGTCCAGTCACGATCTATGCTCTCAATGACATCCACTCAATCGTTATTTTAAAATTATCTGTGGAGCGGAATTTAGAAACGTTTGTTTATTTACTATTGCTAAGGGAGTTTTAGTCGAAGTAAAGCAATCTGAGATGTCTTGTGGTAGAAAATAAATTCACCCGAAGCAGAATGTATTTGAAATCCTCCACTCAAAATGTTATCAACCACGTTCGAGATATTTTTTCAGGTACCACAACAGCTTATTGTAGAATACTACCTGCATTGGACCACCACGTTTGAGATATCTTTTTCCAGGGCCGTAGCAAGCTCGATAATTGGGGAGGGGCTCATTCATATATTCATGTTCTGCGTTATTAATTTCTTTTGAAATCGATTGTTTTTATTGTCTGTGAACACGAATACTGATGCCCCCAATTATCGAGCTTGCTACGGTACTGTTTTCAGGTAGTTCAGACACAAACCACGACAGCTTATTGTAGAATACTACCTACACTGGACCACCACGTTGGAGATATCTTTCAAGTAGTTCAGACACAAACCACGGCAGCTTATTGTGGAATACTACTACTTACACTGGACCACCGCCTTCGTATGGTTTCAGAGGCGACTCTTCAGTTTAGGAATGCGTCGGTATCACTTTATAATTTACTCTCCATGCAGCATAGATTGGTTTTGAATTAACTAGTTGCCAAGAATGGCCGTAAAGTAAAGGCGTTACCCTTAACTTTTCGTCCATTTTTAGCCTGTTTTTATTTTTCTTAAAGTTTGCGCGCTCAATGTTTCGAAATTATAGAGAATTCACATGCATTTACATTGTAGAAAGTATTTCGAAATGAAACAGACAATTCGGTTTTAAATAATTTATTAAAGAAATTTTCATCTTACATTTGACAAAAGTTACGCAATAATTATTACATTTTGAAAAAAATTACAATCAAAATTATTTTAATTAAATTATAAATGCCACACGATCAATTCATTGTAATACAATGTATTTAATTTAAATACATTGTATTACAATGAATTGATCGTGTGGCATTTATTACAAAAGTTAACTAATATGCATTACAAAAGTTTTGAAATACTAAATATATATTACAAAAATGTACGTTTCATTTTTATGCTACAAAAGTAATCGATATATTAATATTACAACAATTCAATAACTGAATTACGTTAATATTACAACGATTGACGCTGAATTACATGTATATTATAACAGAAGATACTATATCAATCTATGATCTACTACAAAACATACCCTATTGACATTGTAGTCAACTATATTTGGGGCCCCCATTTATAAAAAATCATACAATAAATAAAAAATAAAATTTCTAAAATCTTATCAACCTCTGGCAGCATGTTGGATAATAAAATGTTTTGTGTAATAAATTTAATTACGATGCTAATATTTCATAACTTTTCATATTTTATTGAAAACTGCATATGTGTGTATATGGATGTGAAATTTTACATTTAATTTAATATTCGAGAAACTTGATAAGACTTAATGTGTCAATATTTTATTTTTTCATATATTATTTTATTTTCAATATACGAGCATAAGTTTTTTAGCCTGTCATTTCCCCTGGAAATTTTTGCTTCATTTTTATACGTTGTATCATAGAAAAGCATATATTTCACGCTTTGAAATACGATATCGCTTCAATGAGGTAATCCGTAATCTTCCGAATTCGCCATATTGCGATTGCCCCGCCATATTGTTACCGCTCAATTCCCATCCATTTTCAACCGGAGGGCCCTCCTCCAAACTATTTCGAAATGAAACAGACAACACGGTTTTAAATAATTTATTATAAAGAAGGATTGCATATTACATTTTTGACAAGAAGTTTACGAAATTAATTGTTATTATATTAAGAAAAATTACAATGAAATTTATTAATTAAATACATATTACAATGAATTGATCGTATTATATTTATTACAAACGGTGAACTAATATTACAAAAGTTTTGAAATACTATATATATATATTACAAAATGTACGTTTCATTATTTTTATGCTTTACAAAACTAATCAATATATTACTACAACAATTCAATTAACTGAATTACGTTATTATACAACGAATGACGCTTAATTACATGTTATTACAACAGCAGATACTAGATCAATGATCAATAATCTTTGACCTATTACAAAACATTCTCTATTGTCATTATATCCTACTATATATTTGGGGCCCCCATTTATAAAAAATCATAAAATAAATAAAAAATAAAATTTCTAAAATCTTATCAACCTAGCAGCATGTTGGATAATAAAATTTCAACGATTTTTGCGTAATAAATTTATGATGCTAATATTTCATAAATTTTCATATTTTATTGAAAACTAAATGCGTGTGTATATATCGATGAAATTTTACTTTAATTTAATATTTGAGAAACTTGATTAATGTGTCCATATTTAATTTTTTTCATATTTTATTTTCAATACGAGCATAGTTTTTCGCTTGCCATTTTTTTCGACATTTTGGCTTTATTTTAATATGTTGTATCATAAGCGCAATTTTTGGGGGGTGCTCCTTTCAATGGAGTAATTCCCCACAAGTCCGCCATATTGCTATCGTACCGCCATATTGTTACCGCTCAATTACTATTCCATTTTCAGCCGCAGGGCCCTCCCCCCCACTATATTATAAATGTCCACTAACCTTACGTCGTCTTCTTTCTTCTTAGTAATAAAGTTACCTCGTGTATAATTGCACATTTGCCCAAGATATCCCTAATTGCATTGCACATTTGCCCAAGATATCCCTCATGATATTGCACATTTGCCCAAGATATCCCTCATGATATTGCACATTTGCCCAAGATATCCCTCATGATATTGCACATTTGCCCAAGATATCCACCATTATTCTTCAGCGATGTGGCAAGGTGGGGTATTTTCATATTTAGTGTTGAAAAAGGATTGGGGGTCCGATCCCGAGGGCTTATAGTGCGCGGATTTCACGCTTGATGCCTTAGTCCTAAGCTAGTCGAGTTTATTTCACTCGCTCATGCTGGCCTTAAACTAAAACCTAAGAGACCTAATGCACTTGCAAATGGTAAAACGTGCAAATCCTATTGAGATACCCCTTTACAAGGCATCACTCTGCCACAAGAGCAACTTGTATAGTTACTGTTTGCAGTTTGAAACACTGTAAACAATCTATTTTTTAGCCAAAACATATAGTGATAGCAATAGCTGCACTTTATAGAAACAGCAGTGAAATCTCGGTGTATCAATTAGTACAGTAGGCGCCACCTTCCTTATAAACATGGCAAGTAATTGATAAGAAACTGTGCTTGTTTTTTTGTCAAGGCATATAGCCATAGCAAGCTGTCCTTTATAGAAACAGCGCTGAAAAGATGTGAATATTTTTTAGGCTAAGGCTTATAGCCATAGCAAGCTGTCCTTTATAGAAACAGCGCTGCGGAAAAGATGTGAATATTTTTTAGGCTAAGGCATATAGCCATAGCAAGCTGCCCTGTATAGAACCAGCACTGAAAATAACATTACAACATTATTAGATATCCCAAGATACCTGCTAACACTTGAAGCCACCCAACACAGACAAACAGTACACCCAAAAAGAGGCGCCTTTCTTTTTAAATGTACTGCTTTTTCATGCTGAATAATTGGAAGTCTCACAGAGACCTTAGAAAAATAATAAAGTCGCAATGCCACTGCCCATGTGTGCCTGATATTTAGGATAATTTTTCATGAATTAATGTATATTTTGTAACAATTTCCCGCAGGCTAGCCACATGTACGCAGTGTGTACCTATTTTTCCACATATACATTTTTTAGCACAAATAAATACGGTTATAAACGCAGGAGCCATGAACATATAGTTGGGCTCTATACTTGCTGCATTTCAAATCTCAATAATACTTCTCAGTGGTGAACGATACCATGTAAACTGAGTATGATAATTAGTCAGAAGGCATGCAGTCGAGTGGGGTTCTCAACTCCTTCTGGTATGAAAAGTCAAGCGTCATGATATACATGAAAATTAAAACAAAAAAGGGAAATCAAAATAAAATTGTGTAGAGTTAAAAATACTTGACTGCCTACCGCAGTAAGGGGAAAGTGGGTTTCCAGCGACACACATTTTCATTTTGATCCAGTCGGCCTAAAAATAAAATTAGGAAAAAAATATTAACAACAAATCAAATTAGTAGATATGGTATAAGCTATGCCTTAATAATTACATGAAACAATACAGGTTTAAAAAAAGATAGACTGATTGGATGGCTAACCGTTTTACTCACTGAAACAGGCAAATTTTACATAAAATAGAAAGAACATATACCTTAGACACTCTTATAGTTCTGTCTCCACTTTTTCTCAAGCTTTCTCTTCAGGTTGAGAATTCAGCATTTTCCTCTTTGAATTTGCTTTACAATTCGGACAAGAAGCTTCACGTGACACGCCCTTCGGCGTCACGTGGTTGAGAATTGAACCCGAGCTTGCTTTCACTAAAACGACAAATTTAATTAACAAATTTAGCTCTAAAACATCCTCAATACTTTATCAAAACATATCTCTACTAATATAAACTACACAGTAACCAAAAGAAAGGCTAAATGGCCCTAAATTCAGTATCAAAACTCTAAGACGTAAACTTCGATTCGAAATTTCAAGCACTTTTCAATGAAAACCGAACATTTTACATAAAATACAGAGTGCAGACCTTCAAGTTTCTCTTGAGGTTGAGAAAGTTTGCTTTACAATTCGGACAAGAAGCTTCACTTGACACGCGGTCCTTCGGCGTCACGAGGTTGAGAATTAAACCAGCACGGTTTTCACTAAAACGACAAATTTAAAACAAGTTTAGCTCTAAAACAACCTCAATACTTTATCAAAACATATCTCTACTAATTTAAACTATACAGTAACAAAAAGAAAGACTAAATTCAGTGTCTACTGACAAGACGAAGCTCGAAGACGAAGGCGACATTCGGCCATTACGACGAAACAAATTGCGGTCGTCAACTTCGAGAAGAAGTTTTAAGCGCTTTTACTCAATGAAATACGAAGTTTTTATATAAAATACAGAGTACATACCCTGAAGTTTCTCTTGAGGTTGAGAATTGCCCATTTCTTCTTCAATTTTGCTTTAAAATTCGGGCAAGAAATCAGTTTTACTTCGCTCAACTAGACGCCCCAAAACGCAATGCTCCTCGTGATGGTGCAATCTTGAATTTAGTACCATAGTCAACCTTAGTCACATGACAAGAAATTGCCATTTTTATTGGTCGAAAATGGTCACATGATAGGAAATGGGCATTCTATTGGACGAAATGGGCATCTGTGCAAATTTGTTGAATACCAATTAGTTGGTGATTAAGATATGCGATTGGCTTGAAACGCTCATTGCAGATTGGCCATTTCAATTCCCAGAGGGGATTTAAACATTGTTTAATTTCTAACTCACACATGATTGGTTGAAAATACTCAATGCTTATTGGTCTACTTTAATTCCCAGGGGAAAACTTGTAGTTCCTAAAGTTTACGACAAATCTCGAAGATATGTAAACATGGCCGAATTTAAAAAAAATTGTTTGATTTTGTTTCTTTCATTATATCTACTTTGGAAATGGCACACTCCGCGAAATACTTTGACAAGAGAGAAGTAATTGAGTACCTCCAAGACAAAATATTGGAAGCCTTCTGATGATTGTAGATTGCAGCACAGCACTGACTTTAATATATTAAACAGCAACCAAAACACAATTAACTCACAAGAAGACTTCCTTGTAATTGGTACCAAAATCTAATGATACTGAACTAAACATATCTGATCTACCATGAAAATTAAGTACACAAACTTTCACTCTTGGCTTTTTTGCAGATCAAATGAATTATTGGCTGCCATTTTTATTTTTAAAAACGCCCTTTCCTATTTAAATAAATTATTATTTATATACAATTTTCATTTCTAGTTGAATGTGCTGTACAATTAAATGATGAACAATAATACTTGAGAGATTACACAATCAAACTACCTTGAGATTCAGCAGCGCAAATGTCATGGCAAGCGCAATATACCCCCCCCCCCCACCTTTCCTTAAAATTTGGCCTGCCTAATTTCACATTTGGCAGGTAGCTACAGTTCGAGGCCTGCTCGTCATCTTATTTTTTCCTTGTTGATGTCAAACCACGGCAGTTGCATGAGAATATACGTCGCAGATAATGTAATAAAAATAGTTCCACATGCGACCAAGTATGTATGTTTCTTAACACCAACTGGAACTGTAAATATGATATCATTGTTTTGGTTCTGAAATGGAAACAATAACCATGTTTATTATTTACAGTAAAAAAATAATGGATCACACTGTAAGGCTTTGGATGTTTTAAAAACTGAAAACATTCAATGAATCATTCTGAATAGTTCTATCAGTTCTAAACTGTTCTTCCTAGAGGTCTGTAGCATCCCTTTTCATCTAGTGTTAGTGGATCTAGGAGGAAACATGGAAGCAATCTATCTTTATTTATTCTGCATGGATAGTTTTATCAGTTCTAAACTGTTCTCCCTAGAGGTTCAATAAGGATCATCCCCTTATTGATCCAGTGTTACCACAAGAGGAAACCTAAACTAAACTAACTTTATTTATACTGGATATAGTTCTATCAGTTCTAAACTGTTCTTCCTAGAGGTCCAGTAAGGACCATCTCTTATTGATCCAGTAAGGAGGAAACCTAAACTAAACTAACTTTATTTATACTGGATAGCTCTATCAGTTCTAAACTGTTCTCCCTAGAGGTCCAGTAAGGATCATCTCTTATTGATCCAGTGTTACTACAGGAGGAAACCTAAACTAAACTAACTTTATTTATACTGGATAGTTCTATCAGTTCTAAACTGTTCTTCCTGGAGGTCCAGTAAGGATCATCTTTTATTGATCCAGTGTTACTAAACTAAACTTTATTTATACTAGATAGCCCTATCAGTTCTAAACTGTTCTCCCTGGAGGTCCAATATAATGATGTCTTATAAATCTAGTGTTACTACAGGAGGAAACCTAAACCAACCTAACTTTATTTATACTGGTTAACTCTATCAGTTCTAAGTAAATTGTTCTCCACAATTCACATACTGTAGAGGTCTAGTTAGAGGGCATCCTTATTTGTCCACTACAGGAAGGGTGACTAACAGCATAATACAAGAACATGTGTAGCTGACTTAAGTTATACTTACATTTAAGTTCTGTCTGAGAACAAACCAGTCACACATCTCAGCAGTGTCATGGTCGCATGGATATTGCAGAATTTCCTGTTTGTTGAGACATCGTTGCATATGTTCAGAAGTAAAATTGTCTGTCGTTGGAATAAAATAAAATTAAACAGAGTTGACCAATAATATGGAAATTAATGTATATAGAAATTTTTCTTACCTTGGCATCTTGTCAAAATTGTAGGTCTCGGTAAAGTTACTGGGACATAATGTTGATGTTGTGTTGGTTGTTGATATCTCCAATGTACAAGAAGTATACTGCTTGATGTAAGTCGTAAATAACTAGAAAAAATAAAATAAAACCTTCATGTGATGGTCATGAATGTAGAATGTCTTGTCAAGCAAGGAAGTGGAGAATTTCCAGGGCAAACAATTTTATAGTCTGAGTGTCAGACGAATAACGAATTATATTCGTCTGACACTCAGGCTAACAATTTTATGGAGATCAGCAATCAATTAAGGCTCACTGTGTATAGCAGTCTTTCATTGATAAATTAAGCAGAGCAAAAGCATGAATCGACAAGCCTCAAAATACAAGGATTCAACTACCTTTCCATATTTTGTTTCTTTATATCTGGATAAACGAGGACTTTTATCTTGGTTGACAAGTGTGCTGGACGTTCAACATCAAAATCATTTGGATCTCCCACAGGAACTATCTAAAAAGTGGAAAACTTTACTTTTTCTACTTTTTTTTTACTTTTTCCCCCACTTTTTTTTTAAACTTTTTCCACTGTTTTTTCATTTCTAAAAAATCAGCCTTCCTAAGAACCACAACATGACCACTACCATCACTGGAAGACACTGTTAACCAGTGATGTAAGTACTCGTTACTAAAGTAACGCGTTACTAATTACTAATTACTTTTTGGGTAATTTTTTGTTAATTAATTACTTTTTGCAGGAAAGTAATTTGTAACGTAATCAATTACTTTTTGAAGGTAACGAGTAACATTTTAAAAAAGTAATTTGCGTTACTTTTGGGCACTTTTATTATTTTCCAAAAAAACGATGATGACGATGACTTTTATTATTGATGCCAAAGTTTACAATGGACAATGTACTGCACCTTTGAAGCAAATGGCTTTGAAGCTGAACACCGTACTGCTTGCAAGTGCAGCTGTTGAACGTCTTTTCAGCTGTGGAGGCTTGATCATGCGATCGGTTAACTGATGACCATTTTGAGTCGGCACTACTTTTAAAGCTCCAAATTTAATACTGTTGCATAAGTCTTAACTCTTAACTTTGGAACTGCCTTTTGAATTAACTTTTTATTGTTGTTTAAGTCCATGAGAACTTGAAAGTAATTTCAAGGTAATTAGTAATTAATTACTTATGAAAAAAGTAATTAGTAATCGGTAATTAATTACATTTGAAAGACAGTAATAAGTAATTAGTAATAATTACTTTTTTGGAGAAGTAATTGTAATTTTACTCGTTACTTTTTTTTGGTAATTTTCACATCACTGCTGTTAACAAACCTTGCTTGTATCCACAGATCTTATTTCATCTAAATCCACAAACATATCACGAGGTATGTGATGGACCAGCATTAAAATGCAGTTCATTTTAGTATCATTTTCAATAATCCATGTCAAATTGCTCACAATTTCCCTGAAAATATGGAAAAAGAGAAATTCAACAAAAAGTAACACAAAAGCAAATTGGCTGATAAAACAGGTTTTGAAAATTTCTCAAAAATTGTCGTAACATTTCTTTCCTCAAAACAATCATTTTCGACCAGTCGAAAGTGATTGTTTTGATGAAATCCACCCTGTGACGGTTGCATCCTGTAAGGATGGCCAATTCTGTGTCATTAAACATTATTTGTCACAAAATCACAAATACCTATGAAATCCTTGTTTATGAACTGTCCTGTCTGTGGAAACTGTCATCCACTTGTCACAATCTGTAGAAACATCTGAAATGGAAGCATTCGAGTTGAAATATAAATTTAACCAATATGCTTCCTGAAAGTACCATATGTCATCTTGGTGGTACAGCCTTGTTTTCGTAATTGAAATATCGGGCTTTAACTATATACTATCACATACATAAAAACAAGTCTCCATAGCCAAAGTGAAGAACTTTGCATTAGCAGGGTGCATTAAGCGATGTGACATTTCAGAATAACAATTTAACCAGAAGTATGTTAGTACGTCCCACTCTCGACATATCAATTTGTATGTCTTGGCAGTGCTTGTTTCAGATAGCTAAACAAGTGTAATGTGGAGCTTCTGGTTAAATTGCTATTCTGTAATTTTACTCTGTCAGACTCCAAATGGTTCCACATGTGGTAGAATATATTTGGATAGCGTTATATCTACAGCATTTTCTCAAGATTTTTGACATTATAATACAATACAACACAATGATGTCTTCATAATATACGGCCTTTAACATAAAGTTAGACAATTAGTAAACTCACCATTGACCAAAAAACATAAAAATATGAAAGCAACATATCTGATAAAATCCTCCATTAAATCTGTTTTGAAATTTGTGTAAAACGCATCATCTGCAAGTAGATTTCTCCCTATCGGATCGTAATCGGAAACAAAGTTCGCCGAACAAAACGCCTTCTGAGTGATGGTATTTTGAAATTAATTTTCCCGCCAAAAATATAAAATAAAGGTCAATAACTGCGATATTGGTCATATTGGTTCGAAAGTTGCAAAACAAGGGGCTAAATCCTACATGACAAAACAATTGATAACACGGTCGTAAAATGTTTTTTATTTAGAAAAAACTTGGCTTTTAATAATTTTAATTTGTACATTAATTAAATTTGTGTTCATTTAAAATGGGGAATTCATTCCCAGTTTGGTTCCAAATTTTAATTTCGCTCTTTTTTGGTAGCGGATGTAAAATCTAGATAAGAAAAATATTAAACTAATAAATTTATAGATAATAAAGTAGAAAGGGGGTGTAGGTACAGTATGAACAGGTTAGAACTGATAGAGCTATCCAGTATAAATAAAGTTAGTTTAGTTTAGGTTTCCTCCTGTAGTAACACTGGATCAATAAGAGATGATCCTTACTGGACCTCTAGGAAGAACAGTTTAGAACCGATAAAGCTAGCCAGTATAAATAAAGTTAGTTTAGTTTAGGTTTCCTCCTGTAGTAACACTGGATCAATAAGAGATGATCCTTACTGGACCTCTAGCAAGAACAGTTTAGAACTGATAGAGCTATCCAGTATAAATAAAGTTAGTTTAGTTTAGGTTTCCTCCTGTAGTAACACTGGATCAATAAGAGATGATCCTTACTGGACCTCTAGGAAGAACAGTTTAGAACTGATAGAGCTATCTAGTATAAATAAAGTTAGTTTAGTTTAGGTTTTCTTCTGTAGTAACACTGGATTAATGAGAGATTATCCTTACTGGATCTCTAGGAAGAACAGTTTAGATAAAGTTAAGTTTAGTTTAGGTTTCCTTCTGTAGTAACACTGGATCAATAAGAGATGATCCTTACTGGATCTCTAGGAAGAACAGTTTAGAACTGATAGAGCTATCCAGTATAAATAAAGTTAGTTTAGTTTGGGTTTCCTCCTGTAGTAACACTGGATCAATGAGAGATTATCCTTACTGGACCTCTAGGAAGAACAGTTTAGAACTGATAGAGCTATCCAGTATAAATAAAGTTAGTTTAGTTTAGGTTTTCTTCTGTAGTAACACTGGATCAATGAGAAGAGATGGTCCTTACTGGATCTCTAGGAAGAACAGTTTAGAACTGATAGAAAAACTTACTTGATATATTTGCGTTTTGAAAGTTCACAAAGCCCCAGCTGCACGACAGGCCAGAGGAACACCAGGCAGAAGACAACGTTAGGAACATGGCTGATGTCATAATCAGTGTTGATATTCGTTCTCCACAATAACTGAGATATTGTCATGTACAGCACTTGGAGGATGAACCTGCGGAAGAATGATATAAAAGCAGAATGGAATTCAACATTGTATCACGGTCTTGAAACCACGCAGAGTTGATGAGAGTAGCAAATTTAGTAGCGAGTTTGACCGCCAACTTTGATCGACTACCATACGGGTCCGATAACTCTGAGCTGGTTGAAATTTCGATGAAAGTCTTTGCTCAATGGGGGGTGGCCACCCCCCACCCCCCCAATATTTTCAGAGTGTAGTTTCAGATTCATCCAAAGAGGAAAAATTGGAACATTTTCATCCGACAGTGTTCCGTATCTTGAGCGCATCTATAAAGCTGTATGTGACCACGCCTCCCACAGAATTAAATTGTCAAGTATTCTGAAATTAGTATTTAACATTGTTAAACGGTGATTTATTAAGACCTATACATTCTTCTCCAAGTGTCTCCACAATGCAAGAAATGCCATTTCAGAGACCCAAAATTCAATTTTTTTCGGGGGAGCATGTCCCGGACAACCCTAGAATTATGACATACAATTGTCCCCCTGACCCCCTCCCCAAAATAAAATTGCTCCAGCACTTTCAAACAACTAAAATAAACGCCTTACACAATAATAACAGTTGCAATCCATTGTTTGTTGAAAAATGGTAATCTCTTCCATAGTTGATGCAAATGATGGACATAACTTGCCGACATAAACACTAGAAAATTAAAAAAAAAACTATGGTTATAATAGACACACTTTCCTGAGGAAGGATTGAAGGAGCAAACAAAATCACAAACAGGAAGCCTTAGCGAGCTGCCAAACAAACCAACAAACAAATAAACAATTAACAAACAAACAAATGTATAAATAAGTAGGAAAACAAAGCAGCCTACCAAAACATAACATAATAAAGAAAGCAACAACATCCTGGGCCAATGCAAGACCTGAAACATGGCTGTCACCAAATCCATTCCAATATTCTGAATTATTCCTGAGAAAAAAACAGATATCATATTTAGGAGTCAATTTCCATATATAGTAACAACATATCATGCTCAACTTCATTGGGAAATTGTTAAATATTTCACCTGTTTCCAAGAAAATAATGACATTCTTCGCCAGGAGTGCTGGTGAATTTCTCACAGAACGACATGAGGGTGAGGGGAAATACCACCAGATTACATATCAATACACTTGGCATGAAAACGAGGCCGTGAAAACGAATAAACGATGAATTGTAGCCCTGCAAAGGAATGAAATTGAAAACTAATCAAACTCATTTCAGAGAGTTTACTCAACTAATTTTATTTATACTGGGCAGCTCCATCAGTTCTAAACTGTTATTCCTAGAGGTCCAGAAAGAGCCATCTCTTGTTGATCCAGTGTTATTACAGGAGGAAACCTAAACTAAACTAACTTTATTTATATACTGGATAGCTCTATCAGTTCTAAACTGTTCTTCCTAGAGGTCCAGTAAGAGCCATCTCTTGTTGATCCAGCGTTACTGCAGGAAGAAACCTAAACTAAACTGACTTTATTTGTACTGGATAGCTCTATCAGTTCTTCCTAGAAGTACAGTAAGAGTAATCTCTTATTAGTCTAGTAAGGATACTCTCTTATTGATAAAACACTGGTTATAGGAGATGATCCTTAGGGAGAACAGTTTAGGATTGATAGAGCTATACAGTATGAATAAAGTTAGTTTGGATTAGGTTTCCTCCTGTAGTAACAACACTGGATCAATAAGAGATGATCCTTACTGGACCTCTAGGAAGAACAGTTTAGAACTGATAGAGCTATCCAGTATAAATAAAGTTAGTTTAGTTTTGTTAAGTCCAGTTTATTTTTTAACGCAAGATAGAACTGACTTTCTTGGAGCAATTTCCTTACTTTAAAATTCTTGTCGTTTTTCGCCGTCATGGTTGTCATGAGTTGCGAGTCATTGTCCGCGTTCACGAGCGAGATACTGAGGCCTGGCACTAGGACACAGGTGAACCACAGTAGATGTAAGCCAGTCAGGGGAGGCGGTAATAAGAACAGTGATGAAGTTAACATGACAAAGCAGAGTGTTAGTTGACATGATAACATGAACGTGAAGCATATCTGTAGACCAAAACACAATCGACGAGCCTAAATAGAAGTAAAAGTCAAATTGAGTTTGCGCGCTGAAACAAACACACGTAAAAACGCACAAGTTGTAACAAACTTGCAGCAGACTTGTAGCAATGCAGTTCCAACAACTTGTCAACAGCATGTGTTCGCACTGCTTGTTCCAGCTTGTTGACAAGTTGTTACAAGGTCGTTGAGCTCAACAGACTTGTTACAAGTTGTTCCAACAACTTATTATCGTCTTGCAATTCATCAATTTGTCAACAAGTTGTGAGTGACAACTTTGTAGCAACTTGATAAAATAACAGCATTGTTACAACTTGTTGACAAGCTTGCTACTACAAGCCTGTTGCGAACACATCTTGTTGACAAGCTTGCTACAAACCTGTTGCGAACACATCTTGTTGACAAGTTGCGAGATTTTTATGTGTGTATAATATGCAAGACGAAATGCAATATATTTTCTTAGAGAAAATCTCCATGGTTTTATCGGCTGTTTAAGCTTCCGCAAGTGACGTTAAATAAGGCATTTTTGTGGCAATAACCAAACGACAACAGATTTGTATTGCCTTTTTTAACATTACCGGCATCCTTCGAAGAAAGTCTCATACAAATACCTCTTTCAGTAATGCCACAAATTTAATGTTATAGTCGCGATGAAACGACAGCGAACAGGAAATGCCATTTAAAGTTGAACTGACTGTCAAGGGATTCAGTTCTTCTTCACCTAAATAAAATATAAAAATATTCTCCCAGAATGCAGGAATTGCTAGCAATTCAGGGACTCTAGATTTCAAAATTTTTCCGGGGGAGAATGCCCCTAGACCCCCCAGAACTATTATGGTACAGGATACGCATTGAAGATGTTATATAAACATTCAACCGAAGAAAATAATCTTGCTAATTGTCCTAAAAGTTCACGAATATGGAAATCAATCTCTAAAAGAGCACATAACTTCAAGAATCTTTGACTATAGAAAATCACTAGGGGCCTAGATATTCAAAATTTGCCCCGGGTCCTTCTCTGAGTGGTCCTGCTGCTGAGCTAACGCATAGACCGATAGACGTATATTCGGTTGTTTTCGTACTCACGTAATGGGGAATGGTTTTCAGTTTTCAATAGATTAGTCTGACTCGAGTCCTCAGTTACCGAGATGTGGGAATCTCTGTGTCTTGAAGTGTCTTTTAAACACATTTGTGGGAAACTTGGCTGTAATGCAACGCTAAAATAGAAGAAATTAAAATTTATAAAACTCTTTTCCAAACTCTATTAAACTAGGGCGTATTCAGACGGCGATAATTGACTCAAAGCTAACAGTTCCGTATTTACAACTACAATTACGATTAGCATTTCAATAGACCTTATGCATAATGACGTCACAAGGCTTGACGCCCGCGAGGAATGCTGGTCTTAGTAGTCATCGTCCGGGAAAATTAAACAATTCAAAATGGCCACTATCGAAATTTTCCCGGGCTACTAAGTCCAGCATTCCTCGCGGGCATTAAGCCTTGTGACGTCATTATGCATAAGGTCTATTGCGCAAATTTTCATGTGCATATCATCAAGTATTATACGCTTACCTAATTTCAAACTTAGCCTTAGACTATTTCATCTTTACAACAATTGTGATATTACTTTCTTAACTGTGTTTATTCTAACCCACCCTGTCAACTTTCCCTGTGGGCGTTTAAAACCTATTGGCGAATTAACTGGGAATGGCCAAATACAAGTGAACTGGCGAAAATGAAAAGAATGAGATATCTTACCTTATATCAGCTTGATTAAATATCTCAAGATTATCGACATTTAGTGAACTTCCAATGCAGCAAACTATTTCTCCGTATTCTTGCATGATTGAAATCATTTCCCGTGCAGCTAAAATAAAAAATACATTTTATTGGTTTCCTTTATGAAAAATATTTATTTAATTGGTAAATTTTTAGATAGGGAACACCTGTCAGACAATATACTAACAGAACAAGTAGTTCACCCAGGGCCGTACGTAGGATTTTTTCGCAAGGGGCAGTAATACCTATATGTTGAAATAAGTACCCAAATTTTAATGCATTCAAAATCATATCAGTTAGATGCATGCTTATGGCCGCCTCATACAGAATCATACATTCTAATTCACAAGATTATATAAGCGCAATTTGGCTTAATATTTTATAATAACATAAATTTAGTAAGTCAAATTTTCTCTGGGGGGTGGTTGGCTCTTGTACAGACCCAGGTTCACCCTCACCTTGTGGAGTGCAGTCTGTGAAGAGCGGAACCAACAGGGGGACGTTATCCACATTCTCCATGTGAGGTCGAATGTTTATTATACCACGAGGAAGCTTTGCCTGCATGATAATAGATTTAAGTACACGAGATTAATAAACAATTGACTGCAGCCAACCAACTCATAAAACAACCGACCGACATGTTAGCTAATTAAGCAACGTACCCTCTGACAATTTGAGTAACCACCAGACAGGGTGACCAACTCACCAACTGTAATCAACCTTCGGGCAAGGTGACCGACCAACCAACCATCCAACAAGTTGGCCGCCTAACCCAACAACCGGCCGACTAACCCAACAATCAACCAACCAACTGACCCACACCTGACCGAGTAACCCAACAACCGGCCGACTAACCCAACAGGCTCACCAACTAACCCACTGAGAGACTGAGCAACCAGTAGACAGACTAACTGACCATCCATCTGACCAACTGTCCGACCGACTGTATTAAAACAAATGCATGAACACATACACGGTTGCCAATTGGAAACCAGATTTCTCCGCCATGATCATCATTGTTCGTCGTGGCTGAGGATGATGACGCCTCACTAGATTTCCGACATCGATCTGCAAAAATATAAAAAAGAAAGTTAGTTAGAAAAGAAAGTTAGAAAGAGAAGAAAGTTAGAAAGAAAGTTAGTTAGAAAATTAGTAACACACTTTGTGAAAATGTTGATAATTCAATGGGCGACTCCTAAACAGCTGCCGTCACTCGTATTCAAAACATGATAAATAATTACCTTCAGAATCCTGCCATTTTACTCTCTTTTCAATTTCCATATCTTCATTCTTAGGTGCATCTTCAAAAGCGTCCTCATGTTCACCTGACCGTCCCTCTTCATCATCCCCCTCAGACACGTGACCTGTGACGTCATCATTATAACGTGTGACGTCATCATCGTGGACCATGGCGTCATCAGGACCCGTGACGTCATCATGATCTGTGACGTCATCACCGTGGCCCATGACGTCATCATCGTGAGCCGGGGTCACGTGAGACACGAGGTATTCGTCAGCGGTCTCTTCCATCTTGCCCTCCGAGACTGTGGTCAATGTACTGTGTTCGTCGAGGCCAACTGATCTCTCGCTGAACGATATGTGACAATTCCAGCCTGTCTCGAGACCCAGTCTTTCTGCAAATACCTACGTTTTAGAGAAAACAATTTCGATCTGATATTTTATATTTTAATAATTGTCTAATAATAACTGCACATGACCTGAAAAGCTCTATCAGCTGATTTAAGGAATGCTCAAATTAATTAAGAAAATCAATGTATACATTTTACGTTACATTATTTACGTATACATTAGTTTATGGATATTCAATTAATGTACTATCTTTTCCATGTCACAATTTGAGACCAGAATGGGCATAAATGCTAATATATTATGGAAGAAAGTATAAATTGATACCTCTCATTAGACTAGTTATAATAAAACTTACTTGACTTTTGATTTCATTTTCTTCAGAAAAATAAACAAAGCGAACTCCAGCGTGGTTGAGGTCCTCAACAAGAGGAGGGATATCCTTTAAAGAGTACAACACATAACCAGGTTAATGATGATCCCATTAAAAGCACAACGAAAAATTTGTAAGGTTATAGGGCAGGGACCAGTTTTACGAAAGTAGGATAACACTATCCACCGGATGATTTTTTCAACCTTTCTAAAAATCTAGAGGACAGCGCGACTTCGTACAACCAGTCCCATAAGGATGCAAGTTACCTGTTTAGCTTTATGTTGCAACGTTATCATGCCAATAAAGATTTGACCTCCAATTATTCTGAAATAGAACATGCAATTGCACTTTTAGTAGGCCGGTACGGCTCACAATGAAAGACTCATAGTAAGCCGTCTGATTTAAAGGTCTCAGAACCAAACTAAGGAAATGATCTTTTACCTCTGATAAAAATCCAGATCCACCTGATTGTCATTCAGACCAAATGAAGTTTCCCCAACCTAGTTGTGGAAAATTATATATATGTCCAATTCAATTTTAGATCCTCCGTTACATAGACTACCTCACTTTACTTTCAAATACCTTGGTCGCCTCCTCTTCGGATGTTTCAGATCGAGAACTTGACATACTGTTGACGGAACATTTTAGAAATGTAAGGGTTTGCCCAAACATCTTACGTGGAAGAAACAAATTTTGAGGAGTCCACTCAGTGCGTGGAAATTAAACATATACCTTCCATTATCACTGTCATTGTATATCCATTCCATTCCTTCAGGAATTTCAAGAAATACATCCTGATTGGAACCTTTCCATGTCTACAACAATTATGGAATAAAACCTCACGTTGGTGACCAAGATTTGATCCCTGCAGTATGCAGTTGTCTTGATTATAATTTCATCTCAGTCACATGTGAGAAGATGCTTCCAGTTTGCCTCTACCAAACAACGCAAGTTTTCTCCATGTACTTTGGTTTCCTCCTGTAGTAACGCATGGACCAATAGCCCTATCTGTAACGATATAACTGTTATTGTCAATTTCAAGTCACTTTTTAACGCGCGGGTCCTAAGTTCGTTGCGAATAAGGACTGATAAAGCTGTCTATAGTAAATCTAACAAACCTGCGTGACTGGACGATAAGACAATGCGATACAATTTGATGTGATGCTCGTTCGATGAAAGAAATCCCGAATCTTTCTTCTATTAAAGGAAGATGAAGAGAAAGTTGGGTGGATTCAATTTCTGAGATTTTTATTTTTCAATCCATAATATTTCAATCTTCACTTTTATTTATACATAGATGTAGATCCAGACTTTTTGGGATAGAAAGCTTTAGTGCTAAATATACAAACCTAATGTTTTCCACAAACACAACACAATTGTTGTAAGACTAGGATGACGATCCAAACTTACGAATCAGTCTTCAGTCTCTCGCATGACTGACCTTACCTTTCTAAACATGTCAGAGGATGAACCTCAGATCCATCCCAGAAATCGGTGCAAACATCAAGCAATAAGTCTGCGGAACCTTGCGACAATAACTGGTGAGCTCCTAGGATAGAAAAGTCATATTGGTAAATACGCAGCCAAAGAGAGTAGACCAAATATGATATTTCCAAGGTAGGTCACAAGTTACAAAATTTGGTAAGACTCTTTCCGATCTAGTTAATATCAATGGTGGTGTGCCACAGGGCAGCACATTTGGTCCATTAGCCTTTATAGTACACATTAATGATCTCCGTCAGCGGTTGAATCAACTGAGGATAATAGTGATAGCGTATCAATGTTCATGGACGACACTACTATGTCTGAAGTTAGAAATGTTTCCCATCATAGAGCCCCAATTTGCCTCAATTGGCAATTCTCAACGTAAAGCAGAAAAGGACAGGACAGATTTTACCTGATGTTACGTGTTCGACAACTAAAGATGTTAGAAAAGGCACTGGAGTTTCTTTACAAATAGACAGAAACGAATGAGACTGGATTGCTGGATCATTTAATTGATGCTAAAAACAGAGACATATACTGTATTAGTTCTGTATTAGATCTTTTCTCTGGATGCCCAGTGAGCACATCCAGAACATCCTTATTGTTTCAGTGTTATTACACAAAACATCTAGTATCTACAGTGCTTTGTATAGACACAGAATAGAGACTGTACAGAAGCCCGACTTCTTGATTTTCCTATTATTTTGGCGTAACCGTAATTCGTCATCAAAATGCTGACAGCATGGTCCTAGCCAGTACGCTTATGAGAGGCATTCACCCCCTGATAATATTCAAAATGGCAGACGCCCAGGGGGTGGGATGCCTCTCATAAACGCACTGGCTAGGACCATGGCGTCAGCATTTTGATGACGAATCACGGCGTGGCAGCGGTACGCTTTTTTGGCTGAGTCGACCTTCTGTGTGTCTTTATTCTGTGGTATCGATTCAAACTAAATGCACGAATCGTCTCATGTATACTTACACTGGCTTTAAAAGCAAAGATGTTGTGTTTCCTTTTGAAATCCTCCAGTGCAGAATCAATGAAACCAATCTGTCTTCCCAGCAAACATAAACACCTGAATTAAAGCAAAACAAATCATCACGACAGATCTCAGATTTGGCAAGCGACGTGACGTAAAGTGGAATGAAAACGCAGTATCATTGGTTATTTCTGACAAATACTGTAATTCTCAGATATAAGTATCTCTAAAAATTAAAAGATGAAGATGCAATTTTATAAAAAAACTTCTTTAGCAAATTTTTAACCTTTGAATAAATGTGCAAGACTCTATTTCTTGACATGATTAGTGACACGTCTAGTCATGTGACGTATGCTATAGTGTATATTAATATACAAAATCTAACTTGTTCTAAAATACCCCTTAGTGAACCGACCTTCTTACAATCGGCACTGGTGCGTCATTGAGCAACAGCGACATGTGTCCAAGATGGTCAGTCAGTTTGACTGCATTCACTGGCGATGAACATGGAGCATTCAGCAATACATTTAGACCCTGAGGTGAACAAATACACCATACAAATTTACTCGTACAAAATCCTAACCTACTTATACGAGCTTACATGCACTAACGCCTGTATTCTAAAAGCACACTCACACTCAAAGAGTGGAGGATCAATCTGAGCTTGGCTTGATTGTCAGTGCTGTTTTTGAATAGCTGGGGAGTTAGTGTTGTACCTTACTATGTGACTACTCACCCTCCAACTATTAAAAAACAGCACTGACACTCAAGGGAAACTCAGCTTGAACCTCCACTCATTGAGTGTGAGTGAGCTTTTAGAATACAGGCGTAAGTGTTCTCAAACGTGGGGTCATGTGTGTCCCTTTTCACATTGTACACTTTGTGAATGTTGTAGGCATGTGGGTGAGTGTCCCTGTTCCCAACTTAGGTAGGCTGGAAGGGATATTTTGGAACTGTGAAAATCTTACGATTTGTTGGTGCGTGATTATTGTTAAATTACTGTCACTTGTCACACAGATGAATTACTGGTTTCTAAAGCAGTAGGGAAGTGCAATGTCCTTTATCACATTGTACACTTTGTGAATGTTGTAGGCATGTGGGTGAGTGTCCCTGTTCCCCCAACTTAGGTAGGCTGGAAGGGATATTTTGGAACTATGAAAATCTGAAAACGGAGTTTGAAACTATTTGAAAACTATGAACATTTGAGAACGGAGTTTTGGCATTTGAAAACGGAGTTCTGCCATTTGAAAAGGGAGTTTTGGCATTTGAAAAGGGTGTTCAGGCATTTGAAAACTGAGTCTTGGCATTTGAAAACTGACTTTTGGCATTTGAAAACGGAGTTCTGGCTTCCGAAAACGGAGTTCTGGAATTTGAAAACGGAGTTTTGGCGTTTGAAAAGGGAGTTCTTGAAATTTGCTGACCCGTGCACAGTCGTCAAAGCTGTAAAACATTATACACTGTCGTTTACTTACTAAAGGTTTGAGCGAACTCAAGTGCCTCTGCCAACGAATGTCATCAAACACAACACCAAATTCACTCTAAGAAAGTTATTCAAGAATGTAAATCATTCATAATTCATGAAGAAAATTAAAAAGAATTAATTCTGTCTACCTCCGGATTGCAAGATAAATTCAGGACTTCTGAATGAGAGACAAACGTGTAATCTATAGAAACAGAGGAGAACTCCGATAACGTATAAAAAATAAAACAAAACTAAACTTTATTCGTATTGGGGCCGGTTGTTCAAAGGTGGGTTAGCGCTAACCCTGGGTTAAAATTTAACCTGCTGTTTTAGTTTGTGTATTTCTGCACGTCTGTTTATTTCAAAACTTCAGAGAAGTAAACTCCTATCGATCCAGACAAGATCTCTGAAAAAATATTTCCAAATTTATAGACAAGCTGTGAGGAATCCTCCCAATAATTTCCGAAAACCTTTAATTGACAGCTCAGTAACCGAGTAACAAAGTTGTGACAATTATTTTCGACCATGAAAGCACGTCAGGCAATATTGATTAAGACATATATTACATGAAATGTAAGGCAAAAAAATTTAAAGATTTCCAGCAATAAAAGCTGATCATATGGTGGAAACTTAAATCCCCCCCCCCCCACTTCTACCTTTCTGATTCAATTGTGGTGTAGGTATCCCAGAATGCTCTGCGTCCTCCTCGCCTTGCGTTCCGCGAAAATGGATATCAGGTCGAGCAATAGGACTGGTACTCGATTCATCGTCATCATCGATAATATTCGCCGTAAAAAAGTTCGCTCTGTCTTCGTCACTGCCGAGCTGAGAACTTCTGGTTTGCAGTTTCTTGTGCCGTCTCTCTTTGCGTTTACGAAAGAAGAATACTTTCTCGGCGTTAGGATTTGGCGAGGCTAGGATACCGTCTTTATTGACACAGCATAAGACCTGGAAAATTAGGAGAGATTGTGTTTCAGTTTGGTTAAAACGTCTTCAGAAATATTACATTACGAACTCACATGTAACTTTTCCACTGCCTTTGATGTTGTCGTACACACGTAAAAATCTCACAACTTCTCAACAAGTCTGTTGAGCTCAACAACCTTGTAGCCAGTTTGCCAACAAGTTGTAACAATGTTTGTGATGTTACTCTGCGTGTATATCCACACCGGACAAGCTTGAAAAATATGCCTGGCCACGGTGGGAATCGAACCTACGACTTTTGGAATACTAGCCCAATGCTCTGCCAACTGAGGTTCGATTCCCACTCAGAGTAACATCACAAACATCATATTCACCTGAGTACACAACACCAACACAGAAAAAAGTTGTAACAATGTTGTTATTTTATCAAGTTGCTACAAGGTAGTCACTCACAACTTGTTGACAAATTATTGAATTACAGGACGAGCGAGATATAAACCTACTGTCCTCTGCGCGAACTGGACATAGATTATACTTACACTTATCGTTCCCAAAGTGTGTAAAAGATTGGCAGTACGTGTTAGCGTGTCTGATTCCCCTTTGAAAATTTCCCAGAAATGATAGTTGACGTCACTTAGTGGTAACGAGACCTTCTTGGAAAGCTGAAAGAAAAACCCCAGGAAGTCCAGGGCCAGTAACGACTGGGGTCCAGCAAGGGTCATGGTCTTTATTCATCCAGTGTTACTACAGGAGGAAACCTAAACTAAACTAACTTTATTTATACAGGATAGTTCTATCACTTCTGAACTGTTCTTCCTAGAGATCCAGTAAGAATCAACTCTTATTGATCCAGTGTTACTACAGGAGGAAACCTAAACTAAACTAACTTTATTTATACAGGACAGTTCTATCACTTCTGAACTGTTTTTCCTAGAGATCTAGTAAGTGTCAACTCTTATTGATCCAGTGTTACAGCAGGAGGAAACCTAAACTAAACTAACTTTATTTATACTGGGTAGCTCATTCAGTTTTGAACTGTTCTCTCCAGAGTTCCAGTAAGGATCATCTTTTATTGATCCAGTGTTATTACAGGAGGAAACCTAAACTAAATTAACTTTAGTTATACTGGTTAACTCTATCAGTTCTAGGCTGTTCTTCCTACAGGTTTACTAAGAGTCATTCCTTATTGATTCAGTGTTACTACAGGAGGAAACTAAAATTAACTTACGTACTGTGTGTGCCTATGTGCATACCTGGCTGATTTCGGTTTTAAAGAGAACTTTTATTCTTGCTGTACCAAAACAATTGATAACAATCCACATGACTGGAAACATCAACGGCAACAATGGAATGATAACGTGTGCCTGAATATGGACAAACATAGATATAATTCAAAATTCTGCACTAACTTTATTTATACTGGATATCTCTATCAGTTCTAAACTGTTCTTCCTAGAGGTCCAGTAAGGATCATCTCTTATTGACCAGTGTTACTACAGGAGGAAACCTAAACTAAACCAACTTTATTTATACTGGATAGCTCTATCAGTTCTAAACTGTTCTTCCTAGAGGTCCAGTATTAAGGATCATCTCTTATTGATCCAGTGTTACTACAGGAGGAAACCTAAACTAAACCAACTTTATTTATACTGGATAGCTCTATCAGTTCTAAACTGTTCTTCCTAGAGGTCCAGTAAGGATCATTTCTTATGGATCCAGTGTTACTACAGGAGGAAACCTAAACTAAACCAAACTAACTTCATTTATTCTGGTTTGCTCTATCATTTCTAAACTGTTCTCCCTAAAGGTCATATTTATAGTTCCAGTGTTACTACAGGAGGAAACCTAAACTAAAAGCCTAGTTAATTATATTCTCACTTGTAAAATGAAAATCATCTCTGGCCAAGAACCAAAATCATCTTTGGAGAGTAATACTCTTAAAAGATTGATAACAAATGACAGTACCTAAAGCAAAAACGAAAAAATTTCTGCAAACACTAGAGAACGTTACGGAAAGATCTTTTCTAAAAATGTGGAAGTCATTTTATAATCTCTTTCAGGCAGTTTAGACACCTAACCACTGCAAAGGAATGAACACTTGCAGTGTTGAAAGGACATTTTTAATAAAATATCTTTGCAGGAAATTTTCTCATATCTTGCAGGACATTTTGTCATCTTTAATATATACTGGAATGCCGTATAATTTATACTTATTGTATACGAAAGCACTTTGCAAGTTGAGATTCTCTTGTGGCAAGACTGACGTTTATCACAAGTGCGGCGTCATACGTTCTCTCAAATCTACATACGCAAGAAGTTTTATATTGGACTGACACAAGAAAGTTCTAGTCGTGGATTTTGTTGCCAGAACGAGAAATATATTTTCAAGGCTTGAACATTTGAATCGCCAATGGAGGGAATAACCTGAATAGAATATGAGGCATATACAGCCTGATGAAATGTGTTTAACAACCTACCACAATTAGAGGGATTACTCGAAATTGAAGCACTTGTCTGGTTATGTAGTGACGTTCATTTTCCAACAGACTTGTTGGTCTTCTTTGAGAGCTGTCGAACGTACTTCTGGTAGAAAATGAAATAAAACACAAGTTATTTCTTGCGTCCTGAAAATGATGACATCTCCATGTGATATAAGAAATAGACAATTCCAGCTATCGACTAATTTGTTATCTATAGGAAAGACGAAATCTATCATTATATATAGCATTATATATATTGTTATCTATAGGAAAGACGAAATCTATCATTATATATAGCATTATATATATTGTTATCTATAGGAAAGACGAAATCTATCATTATATATAGCATTATATATATTGTTATCTATAGGAAAGACGAAATCTATCATTATATATAGCTCAAAAGAGCATCCTAAAATTAGTAAAATTGCAAAGTTTGGTTGCGAAATGTTGTAAAATACGAAAAATATAGCCCTGTGAAATTAGCAAATTTTCAGTAGCTATTTCATATAAAAAATAACGCGAGGGAAAATGCACCACTTTCGACTCAAAAGTGCTGCATTTTCCCGCGCGTAATACTAAAATACTCAAAATGTCATACAGTACACACCTTAGTTTCCCTCGCAAAGGGGCTTCTATAACCTTAAATTTTTGACGTGGACACGGTTGACAAGGGAAGATTTTCTGATTTTCATCATGGCTGCCTAAGGAAACAAAAGCAAACACTTTAATCGCATGTCATCGGTGAATGTTTTAGCTAAAGAGGTTGCACTGGGCTAGGGGCAAAACACCACCCTGCCCCCCCCCCCCCAGCGACACTGAGTACGAGAATTCGCCAACATATCACCGTCATGTAATAATGCAAGTAGTAATGGCTTTACCTTGCTGTTCCTCGGTTTCAGGATAAAACATTTCGCCATCATTGAAAATCTTTTCGGCATTGGAAGATATCTGTTTAGAAACAAAAAACCACACTATAATATACTGTATCTTTATCCATGCTATGGTTCTCAATAACTTATTGTACTTACTGAATCTGGTGAAGTCAATAAATATCTCTTGTGGCTGTATAACATAACATAACTATTGATATTGACTTGATGCTTTCTCTCAATCTCAACATTTTCACTTAAAGTGCATATGACATGAAATTTCTTATTTTCTTAAATGAAAGAACTCTTTAAGCTGTAGTGTAACTTATTTCTCAGTTTCTTGTTTTTATGGTTTGTTCCCTAGATATTTCAATTTGTTTGATATGTAAATGAGTGTGAATATGTCCGCTAATTTATGACGTCATGTTGGTTGCAAGCTCTTCAAAATGGTTGAATATCACTGCTATCATCCAAGATGATAATTTCAAAATTCACTCACTGGTAAATGTGATGAAACACTGGAAAAAGTTATACACCGTAAACCTCCGACTATAACCCCCACCCCGAATATAAGCCCCGCCCCCGAATATAAGCCCCGCCCCGAAATATATAAGACCACCAAATATAAGTCCCCCGAATATAAGCCCAGTAGCCCACTACGTTATTCAACACTGACATTGTCTTTTAAAGGGGCCCTACAGTCATTTTTTAGTCGAAAAGCCACCTTAAGTATTGTTTACATTTTTGTTATTGTCGCTACTGAACATGCGCACCACGGCATGCATGTGCCTTCCGGTGTGCGGAAGTACTCATACTCATGGATACTGCATGTAAGATACAGCCAAACGAATCTCCGTGGAGTCCCCTACTTAAGGTGGCTTTAATTTCGACTAAAAAATGACTGTAGGGCAGAGAACGATATTTAAAAACATTGTCATTGTCTTTATAGCCAACTATGTTAATCAAAGCACGTTATTAATACATGTTTATTTTCCTGTTTCTGACTGACTTGTTTTTGTCTGACTTGTTTAATACTAACCCAAAAGATCGTACTTGTATTAGCCCCCCCGTATATAAGCCTCCCCCCTTGTATAAGCCCATCAAAAATCGCTTACGAAAGTATATGGTTTACGGTATTTGGTTAGGTGATATTTGATAGCTGATAGGTTATTACCCATTCTAATAAGAAGTAGGTTTAACTACTGACATGTAATTTTAATAGATTGTTTGGCCAAGTAAAACAGTGAATGCAATGTTTTAAAGTTAATATCTCATTTATTTCAAATGTCAATTGTCAAACACTCAAACCGTGTGGACAAACCAAATATTGCAAACAAACCAAATACCGTAAACCTCCGATTATAAGCCCTGGGCTTATATAAGTTCGTAAGCGTTTGTTGATGGGCTTATACATGGGGGGGAGGGGGTTATATACAGGTGCTCATATCAACATATTTATATTATCGAGAAAAGGACGTCTGATGCCTGATAGATCATTGCTTCTCACACTATAACTATTAAAATGTGCACCAATTGAATTCAGGCATGATATTGCTCAATTGTTACCCCCATTTAACCAAATGCAATATATATCACTGCGACTTGATCTATCAGCAGCAGTAATAGAAATCTGTAAAATTTGCAGTTTTATATGATATACTGTAGCTCTGAGTCACGTGATACCTTCGTACAATGGCTCTCGTTTGTTTTGAACACAATGGCTCTCGTTTGTTTCCGTTTGTTTCCGTTTGTTTGTTTAGAATTGATGTAAATTTTATTTGAGTTGCCTGTTTGGCCACCGTGACCAACACGCAAAGTGTCTGATCAATATATTGATCAGCGACAGCTTGAACACAATGATTCCCAACACCAAATATGCACTGTCAGGTTTATAAAATCAAACGCGGGCCTATATAAATAGAAGAACAAATCGTCAAATCTCCTGAAAATTCTTCGTAAACTAAAAGGATCATAGATAATGCTTTGATCTTACCTTAAATAAATGACTTTACAAGAAGATATAATTCTTAAAAATCGCAATATTTGCTAAATACTTGCCAACTTGTAAGTTTCGCCCTCGTGCTAAATCTTGGCAAGTCCCGAAGAGCAGCCGGTAGCTTCCGTAAAGACCCGTCGAATATCTTCTACGTCACAAAACGTCATAAAACTGAACATCCAAACATTGCTGAATCCAAATCATTGTCGCATTCATATAGCTCGGTAAAGAGGTCTGGGAACAAATCACAAGAATAGGAAGCTGCCTGCGCCAGC